CTAAGGCTAAAGATTTCCTTACCGAAATTGAGAAGCGTTTTGCTAAAAACGATAAGGTAGAAACAAGCACGCTTTTAGCTCGTTTGATTTCAATGAAGTATAAGGGCAAAGGAAATATCAGGGAGTACATTATGAAAATGTCTCATATTGCTTCAAAGCTTAAGGCACTTAAACTCGATCTTTGTGATGAGTTATTAGTGCATCTGATTTTATTGTCTCTTCCTGCACAATTTAATCAGTTTAAGGTCAGTTATAACTACTAAAAGGAGAAATGGACTCTAAATGAGCTCATTTCATACTGTGTGCAAGAAGAAGACAGGTTGAAGCAAGATAAGACAGAAAGTGCTCATTTGGCCTATGCCTCTAAGGATAAGGGCAAGAAAAGGAAGAATGATAAGGAAGCTGCTAAGGGTCCAGTTGAGAAGAAACAACATAAGGATAATCAGGGTTGTTTCTTCTGTAAGAAGCCTGGACATGTAAAGAAGGACTGTACAAAATATCACGCCTGGCGTGATAATAAGGGTACGTTCCTTGCTTTGGTCTGTTCTGAGGTTAATTTAGCTTCAGTACCTAGAAACACTTGGTGGTTAGACTCTGGTGCTACTACTCACATAAGTGTTTCTATGCAGGGTTGCCTGAGCTACCGAAAGCCAAGTGATGTTGAAAGACACATCTTTGTGGGCGACGGACAATCGGTAGATGTGGAAGCAATTGGGCACTTTAGGTTGTTGTTAGGAACTGGTTATTATTTGGATTTAAAAGATACTTTTGTAGTACCGTCTTTTAGACGGAATTTGGTTTCTGTTTCTGTATTGGACAAATCAGGTTATTCTTGTTCATTTGGAAACAGTCAATTCAGTTTATCTTTTAATTCAAATGTTGTGGGAACCGGTTATTTGAGTATTTATGACAACCTATATTTGCTTGATACAATTGCTTCTTATAATGAATCCTTGCATGTGGAATCACGTGGTACTAAGCGTAAATTAAATAAGAAAAATTCAGCGTCATTATGACATAAGCGCTTGGGTCATATCTCAAAAGGTAGAGTTGGGCGTCTTGTGTCTGATGGCATTTTGGATTCCCTTGATTTTTCGGACTTCGACGTATGTGTTGAATGTATCAAGGGAAAACAGACCAAAGTGAAGAGATTAGGTGCCAACAGATCTTCGGATGTCTTAGAATTGATACATATGGATATTTGTGGGCCATTCCCTACGGAATCCTGGAATGGTCAACAATATTTTATATCATTCATAGACGATTACTCACGTTATGGGCACCTATATCTTATTCATGAAAAATCTGAGTCTCTGGACATGTTCAAAGCCTATAAAGCTGAAGTTGAGAATCAACTCAACAGAAGAATTAAAACCGTTAGATCTGATCGTGGTGGTGAGTACTACGGCAGATATGATGGTTCAGGTGAACAACGTCCAGGACCATTTGCTAGATACCTAGAGGAATGTGGTATCGTCCCACAGTACACTATGTCAGGTTCACCTAGCATGAATGGTGTAGCTGAAAGACGAAACAGGACTCTTAAGGATATGGTAAGAAGTATGATTGCTCATTCTTCTTTACCAGAGTCACTCTGGGGAGAAGCACTTAAGACAGCAGCTTACATTCTGAATAGAGTACCAAGTAAAGCAGTTGCTAAAACACCTTATGAGCTTTGGACTGGTCGAAAGCCCAGTTTAAAGCATTTACATATTTGGGGATGTCCAGCTGAGGCAAGGCCTTATAGGCCAAATGAAAAGAAATTGGACTCCAAAACAGTTAGCAGCTACTTTATTGGATACTCTGAACGCTCTAGGGGCTATAAGTTTTATGATCCCACTATAAGGAATATTTTTGAGACGGGAACAGCAACATTCTTTGAGGATGTTGAGTTTGGGGGGAGAAATAAGGTTAGAGACATTAGTTTTGAGGAGGAATTGGCTTCAGATCCAATCCATACAGTTACTTTTGACAATATTCAGGTTCCTATACCTGTTGTTGCTCAAGAAGTAAATCCGGAACCTCAAGATGATAATGTTGAACAACTCCCTGTTCCAGAAGAACAAACTCAACAACCTCAAGAACCAGTGCCATTAAGGAGATCCACGAGAGAAAGGAGAAATGCTATTCCGGATGATTATATTGTATTTCTCCAAGAACATGAGGAAAGTAGTGGAATGTTAGAAGATGATCCAATCAACTTCTCTCAGGCCATGAAAAGTTCTAACTCTCAACAGTGGATTGATGCCATGAATGAAGAGTACAAGTCTATGCAAGACAATAAGGTTTGGGAACTTGTCCCATTACCAGAAGGTGCAAAACCAATTGGTTGTAAATGGATTTTTAAAACCAAGCGGGATGCAAACGGTAATGTGGAGAGGTATAAGGCACGTCTTGTGGCTAAAGGCTATACTCAAAAGGAAGGCATTGATTATACAGAGACTTTCTCTCCGGTTTCATCGAAAGACTCTTTCAGAATAATCATGGCACTTGTTGCTCATTATGATCTTGAGTTACATCAGATGGATGTTAAGACTGCATTTCTCAATGGAGACATTGATGAGATGATTTATATGGTGCAACCAGAAAACTTTGTGTCAGGAGACCCAAAGAATATGGTTTGCAAATTAAGGAAATCCATCTATGGACTCAAGCAAGCTCCTCGTCAATGGTATCATAAGTTTCAACAAATAGTTATCTCGTTCGGTTTTGAGATGAACATTGTTGATGACTGTGTATATCACAAGTTCAGTGGGAGTAAGTATATTTTTCTGGTTCTGTATGTCGATGACATCTTGCTTGCCACTAATGATATAGGCATGTTGCACGAAACCAAGAGATTTCTATCAAAGAATTTTGAGATGAAAGATCTTGGGGACGCCTCTTTTATATTAGGGATCCAGATACATCGAGATCGCTCTCGGGGTATTCTTGGATTATCACAAAAGAGCTATATCGATAAGGTACTTAAAAGGTTTGGCATGCAAGATTGCAGACCAGGTGACACCCCTGTTGCTAAAGGAGACAAGTTTAGTCTCAATCAGTGCCCTAAAGGTAACCTTGAAATTCAGGAAATGCAGAAGATTCCTTATGCTTCGGCTGTAGGAAGTCTAATGTATGCTCAGGTATGTACGCGTCCGGATATTGCGTACATTGTTGGGATGTTAGGCAGATACTTAAGCAACCCTGGTATGGATCATTGGATAGCAGTCAAAAGGGTTATGAGGTATCTTCAGAAAACAAAAGATTACATGCTCACATACAGAAAATCAGAGAAATTAGAGGTCATTGGGTATTCGGACTCTGATTTTGCTGGATGCCAAGATAGCAGGAAGTCTACATCAGGCTACATTTATATGTTAGCAGGAGGAGCTATATCATGGAAAAGTGTCAAACAAACACTAGTAGCTTCCTCCACTATGGCAGCAGAATTTGTAGCTTGCTATGAGGCATCCAATCAGGGAATATGGCTGCGAAATTTTGTCACGGGACTGCGTATTTTGGAAAATGTTGAAAGACCACTAAGGTTATATTGTGATAATAAATCTGCAGTAATGTATTCCAATAACAACAGGAGCTCAACTAAGTCAAAACATATTGACATTAAGTTTCTGGTTGTGAAAGAAATGGTACAGAGTGGACAAATATCCATAGAGCACATTGGGACAAACTCCATGATAGCTGATCCTCTTACTAAGGGATTGCCACCTAAGGTCTTTCATGAGCATACTGCTCATATGGGTGTGGTATTATTTGAGGATATTATGTTTTAGTGGGAGTTTGTATTTGTGGTGCTTTATGTTTGGTTGTATTGTCTGATCAGAATAAAGTATTCAGTTAAGACACTCTGTTACATTATGTTTGGTTTTGACCTCATTAAGGAGGACCAGTTGAAAATAGACATGTACTGATCACATTACATGTAATTTTCATGCTGCACATCCATGATTGATCTATGTCGTTTGATTGTATTGGTATATGTGACCATTGATGGGTCGAGTCACGATAAATGTGACAAAGGCCGCTTTGATCCTATATTGATATAGTCAATGGACGAGATTGTTCGGAAATACCTTTTCAGTAATAGCAATTTTTGAGCTCATAAGGTTATACACAATTTAAGGAATCATATGGTGCCAAAGTGGGAGATTGTTGGATTTAATCTAATAAATCTATTTATGGGCACATATGATTAATCAATGTGTATTGCTATCTTTCAGGATAACCCACTAAAGTGATTAATTAAATTGGGTTAATGAGTATTTAAATATAATCATGGGGTTATATGTGCAGATACCAGGTTGTAATTGTGATTTATTGAGGGGCTAAATTATAAAAATACAACATCTATAAATAAGGGGTTATGGTCCCTAACCTAGGGTTACATTCTCTAATTCTCTTCACCCCCATCTAGAAAGAGAAATTCGGATTTAGAGGAACTCTAAGGTTAGAAGATCATCAAAAACCCAAATCAAGTTTTCTTCTATGGATTCAGGTATAAGCTTCCGCTCATTTATGATTCTTGTTAATCTCTTTGAATTAATCATGGCTATATGGTTTTAGATCTCAAGTTTTGGTTTAGATCTAACAAGCATCGCATCCTTGCGGTCAATAATTAAATTTATAGTTTCAAGTTTCAACCCTCTTCTCTTATCTTCATTTGCTTATCAAGTAAATAAATAAAGAAATCAAGTCAATGGCTTGGCTATATTTCCTTTGCTTATTGATGCTTGGACCAACATAGACCGTGTACTAAGGAAGACTCTTCTTCTTCTTCTTTTTTTTCTTTTTTTTTTTGGAACTTAAGCAAGTATCAGCAACATCTATAGTTGAGCAGATACTATAAATACAGCATCGGAATGAACGCGTTTCAGACGATAATCATTTTACAGCCATATGTAATGGACTTCGAACAAACAATAGTTCACATAATTGGGGCAGGAAAAACTAGAGAGCTCTCCTTACCAAAATAGCAGCAGACATTCAGAAGAAAGCTGGGGAACTAGTAAGTCAAAATGTAATATTCAGCGTGACATAATCATGAGGTGTATACTTAAAGTACAGGCGCTTGCTTGTGACCAGGCTAGTAAGACAACAATGATTTCATTATAAGCGAAAGAAAGAAGGTGAACAAAAACTGCACTAGCTGAAACGAGGTGAGTTACTTATGCTTAGTAAACCGGCGTTGCAACCTCGTACTGGTATTTACAGAATTGTCAATTACGTCGATAGCTAACTCTGTCACAGTGTCCTGCCTCGAGCCTATCCCCTAGGGCATGACAGGCAAAAAGGCCATTGCTAAAACTGGCAACAAACTCAAAGAGCAACAACAGGTGTCCAATGAGGACAAGGACAATAAGTCAATAAGTCGTTGACTACCAGAGATGAGAAAATGCGAGTTGTACAGGTCAATGCAAGGAAAGGTGCAGGATCAAATGCCTACTGCCACTATCTCCCACCTTCAAATGGATAAGGACTTTAAGTGGTCTGCCACCATCCTAATTAATGGGTGCCTTTGGCAGGTATCAAGCACCCATTTATATCTCAATGCCTTACATGCATCCTTTGTCTCCCTCCAGCAACAGATAGATAGTAGTAGACGCATATCACACTAAAATATTCAGAGGCATCATAATAGCATATTCAGGACTAACGCTCTTTGATGATACCCTTCAAAAAAAAAGTGCACATCACCCATAAACAAATATTATTTCAAATTTTTAATCCTATGCCCACAAGAGAAAACCACTAAACTAGCTAGTGGAGGAAAATCAATCATCTTAGTCAGTCAAGAATATTTCTTCCATGCCAATTCCAACCTCCCATCTCCATAATAACATGTCACGTCAAACGATTATGCCTAGTGCAATGTTGATGGAACCCTTTCCTTTCATTTGGTAAGATATTTTCCCATAATATCTACTTCTGGTCAAACCACTTGAACTTTATGAAGATCAAAATCAAGAAAGTGAATCCTTTTTGCTAATGGGTGCAGGTGTAGCAGAGTGTGCAAAGTATTCAGAATACTTAGATAAGAAACACCAAACGTAGTGGAGATGGAAGATAAAGTTGCATGACTTGTGAATATTCCGTGTGCAAGATAGATTTGTTACCATCTGGCTCCTTCAGGTTCATACTGCCTCATAAGTTGACTACTGAAATCCATACATTAAGACAATAATCATGAGAGGTATTCTGGCTCTCCCTTCTGATGAGGAGTTAATACAGTAAAACAACCAGAAGCTTGTATACCTCCACTAAAAGCTTGATGATAACAGAGCTTTGCATGGATCACTGCTACATGTGGCTCAGTGGGTGTTGAGTGTATAATCCAAAATTCCTATGAGACAATACCGATGCCCTTCAAATCGTTCATGTATTGGATGCAATCCTGAATTTAAAATGTTTCTTTTCCAGAAAGAGGGATCGAAGAATATAAGAGAATTTAAATTCCAGAAAATTCGATGCAAGTAAGAGGAAGAGATGAAAGAGAGATCACATTTGCGGTTCATGATCTGATCAAAGTATTTGTGTGGAGATTCAATCAATTCTTCTACTGCCATCTTCGGCTTTGTTACTCTCTTGCTTCTCAGTTTTTAACAAGTATGAGTCTGTCAGAGCACAGGATCCAAATTTGAATTGTATTTTAAAGAGATTTAAAAAAAACAAATTGGTCATTAAATGTACTCACTACTCTTCACTGCAAGACCAGCCCAACGGGCCCCAAGCTTGACTAAATCAAGGAAGGGCATTCCGTGCCTACAGGCCTCCAGAGCAAATTTATCATTTATTAAAGGTCCAAAGATACTAAGATACCTCTAGGTTAAATTTATGTGGCACTTAGCAAAGGTCCATAGCCCACTTACATGTTGCATTACTGGGCTATAAGATGAATCTTGAGCCCGCATCCATAGTTTATGAGAACCTAAATTAGAAGATAGATATAAATGAAGGAGAATTTGGTACATATAAGTTTGATATGATGCAAAAGGGAGTAGAGGACTACGTCAAATTATATATATTAGAGTGAAGAGAGATCGAAGTGTTCATGAAGGAGACCAGATTATAGAAATATGGAGAAATGTTGATGTATACTTGTGTATAAATGCACATATTTAGAAATGAAAACATAGACTTTGGAGTTCAATAATATCTAATAGCAAAAGTAGAAGCAAGGTTTTATATGTCAAATGTCAGGTTCATGTCAGACGGCTAAAATTTTTATGTCGCATAGTGGAAATCGGTGATATGTTGAGGGACATGAAAAAAAATATCGGATTGCCATATCGGATGGTGTGCATACATGTGAAGTGTAATATAATATCACAAATTAAATCTAAACATACTTAATAAATTCTATCGCCTAAACATAAACATTTAAATAGTAAAAGTGTTAAAATACATTGACAACCCATTAACATATATGTCAAATAATGATCAGTAGCAAATAAATCACCATCTTTCGGCTGAGATTGCACACTTATCACATTATTAAACTTAATTATATCTTGCATTTATATTTACTTTCTTTTACGATTCCACTATTTCAAGAGATCTAGTCAATCTGCGCTATCCATAGGATATTTGCATGTCACTACGTGATACGCATCATTATTCTTGGTACTTCTACTAGACTAGTCAAGTTTACATTGTTGTATTATCTCTGTTGTTTCAATTTAACTTGAATATGCTTCAAATTTCTCTGCTTTAGGAAATGAACCAAATAATTAATAAATTGTTCGATTATTATTATTCCAGATATTCAGTCATATTCGACTCGATAGTTCATTTAATTGTAAATGAATATTTTTCAATATCTGGCTCATAAACGAATAGAATTTAACCAAAAGGATATTCAATTCGATTGATTATTAAATATTCATTTATGTTTTACATTTTACTCCTCTAAGTTTAATTTATCATAAAATATTTATCTTTTAAAGTTACACTTTAGATATTTACTATGATCAACATATATCATAACTAAATATCTATTAGAAATAAATTCTTATTCAAATTTTAGCTTAGATGACATTCTTAAGTTGCTAAATTAGTTTGATAGAAAATGAATTACTGTGGATCTAAAATCTATAATGAGATGTTTTCTTGCTTCTACATTACTGCATTATACTGAGTTTTATGTTCATATTACAATTGATAAATATATAAATTAATAATTTATAAATATATGAATATAATAATTTTAGTAGTAAAATATCATAATAATTATTAAGTAATTATGCAACATGTAAAAAGAAAAGAAAAAAAATATATACCAACATAGGATAACACCTGACCTCAAGTCTAAGAATCAAATGCATTAACCAAGTGTGCTAACAACATTCGTGAATAGTTACCGAATATTTAATGAAAATACCTAATCGAATTTGAACACCTTCTACCAATTCGACAAAAATTCGAATTCGAATTCGAATTCGCTGGAGTAAACCGAATTCGAACTTAAAGGTATTCGACCAAATTCGATTCGTTTCCACCCCCACTCTGCTTGATGGCTATAGCTTTGTATTCCACATATATTCACATCTCACGTTTGATGCACTTAATGATTGCAACTAGAGAGACAAAGAGGCTGAGAGAACGAGAGAGACGAAGAGGCTGAGAAAGGGACTGAGAGAGATGGGAGAGAGAGGAGTACCATTCAAAGAAAAAGGACGGTTGAAGGCTTGTAGCTTTAGGATCCACTCCCCACTTTCAAACACTCAAACCCTAACCCTAGTTTCCCTGAAAGCTAAGAGAGAGAGAGGAGAGAGAGAGAGAGGGGCAATTATATATATATATATTTATATATATATATATATATATATATATTATATACTATATATATAGTTGGAATATGGGTATACTTGGCCAAGGATCTTGGTAATGATGTGAACACATCTTTGTCCATGATATCATCACACCTGGAGTTGGTGAGCTCCATCTTCAAGGTGTGATGTATGGACAAGATGTGTCCACATCACTACCAAGGATCCTTGGTACCAAGTATACCCATTTTTCTCATATATATATATATATATATATATATATATATATATATATAACCTTTGATTTGATGATGTGTCTTTGATTTTGCAACAAATAAGAAGTTGAAGTTGTTGCCGCTGCTGCATTTTTTTATTTGGGCAAAAAAAAAGCCCTACCAAAAGATATAGTTCAAGTTCAAGTTGGGTCTGGGTTAGGTCGTGTTCAAGTTGAGCAAATCCACCGGCTTTTAATTGTCGATGCTTCACTCGCTATATCCGATTTTTGTCTGATATGTCACAGACATGGACCAAAAAATGACATGAAACTTAACATATACTATCGGTGTGATGCCAAACCCAACATGGCGGTCGACATTTAAAACACCGAGTAGAAGAAAGTATAAATGATGAGTTTTAAAATTCATGTACTATCTCAAACAATATGCACACCATTGAAATGAGTGACGCGCAAATCTTCCCACTTATAACTCAGTATCCCACATTATTCTCACTCCCTTGGCAAGCCCTTGAGTAGATGAGTGGAACTGGGTTCACACTTGTCTTCTTGCCTTAAAAATGTGATAAACTACATCAAATTTCCCCCATTAATTATAACTACTTCCTTAATAATTTCCCCCACAATACTTAATTTGGTTTATCATGTCATCTAGGAGCCGAACACTTTCATTTAGGATTCACGATAATGTCGTGAGTTTGATAACGGAGCTAGAGGGTGTGCAATATTTCCCTGTAGTATAGGAACCATGTTATCCTATTCATTAATAAAAAGGGGAGCGTGTCGCCTGTTTAAATGACATGTATATGTTTGAGATTGTTATATAGAGTTTTAGATTTATCTCTTTATTTTATTGTTGTTGTTGGATATTAATGAACTCTCAAATCTATTTTTTGGTTCAAAAATCAAGGGTGACTATACATATGTATGCATTAGTTCATGCAACAATAATATGAGATAAAAAGTATATATAGCCTTCTAGTTAGTGTAATGGGTTCTAAAAAGTAAGACTAGTTCTACTTTCTTTAACACTTAATCTTTGATCTTTTACTCGACTGATTCTTCCCCTCTAGCAGTAACACTTTTTCCCCTAGCAATTTATGAATCACGTGTGTGTGGGTGGGTGGGTTTGACGGATGAGGTGACAACCTATTTTGTTTAATGAGCCACCAAGAGATAAAGGGTGGTGAGACCCACTCATCCAATGTGACTAACAGGGTGGCCTCACCGCACGGTCATCTACTGGTAACCTATTTAGAGAAACGAGACGACTTCACACCCTTTACTTCCTATGCACACATATATTCATACATATATGCATACATAGTACCTAGATATATATAACACACAAATTTATATGTATTCCTATTCAGGCATAAAACATTATTAATTGTCTGATAGAATGTGTAATGAAAATTTAGTTCAAAACATTAATTTATAAGCTCCTACTCACCTTTATACTCTTATTACTTATTGCAAAAGTAATGTCTTGGATCCTTCACTGAATAAATCGTATGTCTCTAAGATGGGTGTTAAGAGAGGGTCTAGAACATTGGACTTGTTAAAACTAGTTATACATGGAAAATTATTCTCATATAAACCCTAATTTAATCTTACTTCGACCTCCAAAAGCCCGAACATAGATCCTATTGAATTTGTAACCCTGTTGCTCATGATTAGCTCATCACTCAATTCTTGTCCTTCAACAACCTCATCCCTCATTCTTGTGCTAACAAGCCGCCTTGCCTGACAAGTACATGCTAACAGGTTACAACAGTTTTGATCATCTTTATTCCTTTTATTCATACAACAAAATTATAGTCCTTTGTATCTTGGTTCCTACAGAATGTATAGTCCCATCCACCTCACCACAACATTTGTTTTACACCTTGTACCAACTTTCTAATGGAAAGATGTGTTTAGCAAATGTAATTTAATAGGTGACAGGTGTTCAAAAGAAGAGTTAGTAAGACTTATCAATTTGGAGTTTCTCAGTAAGCGGAAATTTGGATAGTAGCACTAAGGCGCAGCCGTTAATTCTGTAACATGCTTTTTAACTTAAAAGCTCGAGTTACTTGACCAAAAAAAAAAGGTTTCCTTATGGTAGGCTTCAAGGTAACACCACACCTATAAGATAATTTCAG